GATATATACCGTGAAGGGATTCAATTTATCAATTTATACCGTGATATGATTCTGAGGTCGTACCGCCCAGTCCTACATCTATATAAAAAACACAATTTGAATAGTTTCACTACATCTTCCTTCTAAAACCAACAGTTCCTCTGACCCCGCCCTCCAGGTGTTGGCAGTGTGCTCCTGGGACTCGTCCATTCACGATTCTGTGCACCTGAACCGGGTCACCTCAGCCAGCGAACGTATCTACCTGATTATTAAGGCCACGGTGCAGCTCAGCCACCCTGCCTCCATGGAGCTGGTGCTCCGCAAGAGGATCGCTGTCAACATCTACAACAAACAGGTTGGTGCTGGAAAGATGGAGGCTAACAGCAGCCGTGTTGTTTTTACTCATTATTAGTTTTTCCTCAGAGTTTCACGCAGAGCCTGAAGAGGAGAATGTCCCTAAAGAACACGCTTTACTCCTGTGGAGTCATTTATGAGATCGTTTCCAACATACCAAAGGTCAGTCGTTCTGCCAGCGTACCGGTGCGTCGACGTGTTGGAGTCGGTCTTCACCGTGCCGCTTTGTTTCCCAGGCCTCAGAGGAGCCGGAGGAGAGGGAAACCTTGGCCCTCATGGCAGCTCGCGGGGACAGCGAGGAGACCCAGGACGGCGAGACGTACATAGAGAAGTACACCCGAGGAGTCCTGGAGGTGGAGAACATCCTGAGCCTGGAGAGGCTACGACAGGTGAAGCAGCGCAGACGCCCTGGAGCACAAATTCACGTTCCTACTTCAGGACGACACAGTGCGAAATGAGCAGAGGTCTATAAAGTACTTGAAAAAAATAACGGAGTAAAAGTAAATTTGGTCCTTGAGAAAGCCAGGCAGAGTAATCAAACACAGATCCACAGATTTTTGTTTCACTTTGGTGAAGTTTCCCTTCTGTGTGTAACAGAGTTGATGCAATCCACTGTAAAAGTGACAAAAACAGACAAAGTTATTTTACTGCAGTGATTAATTTGACCTATATGTGACACATCATATCAAAATAAGGATTAAGTCAAATTTGGACAAAATTACCTAATTACATTTTAAGATTCTTGGCTTTAAAAGCTACATTTCGATACCTGGATCATTCTGATATCATAATAAAATCCATAAATATGACTTAATTTGTCGTGTTGGTTACAATAATACATAAATATTTGGTCTGAATCCTAATTT